CTGTTTCCTCAAATTCAATTAGATTGCCAATCCAGCTATCAAATTATTGCGGCGATGACAGGTCATAATTAGCCTTTGTTTTAGAGCCGTTGAAAGATATTTTAGTGACACAAACTTTAGGTTCGTCTGGGGCTGCAGAATTACATGCTAAATCTTGCGATACACCACCATCCAATATAATTGTGTTATTACCACTGGCAGTTAAATCTTCATGCCCAACTGCCGCCTCTTGAAGCACAGATTCCCCAGGCATTTCATGAACAGGTTGCGCATTGCCCCCCACTGGTTCTACAGGGCTAGTATTACTGCTTGCTGGCTGCTCGAGAATCTGTTCATTATTTGAAGACGTTGAGTTAGCGTGTTCATGTAAAAGGGGAGACTAAAGAAAGTCTTCAACGCTTTCTTCGACGTCGTAGAAATCACTTGTTAATGTGTCTTCCCAATCGTCCATTGTTGACGCTTGGCTTTCGTCTGCGTATTCGTACATTTCAGCGTGACAATCACGCGCTAACTCAAAGTCCTTAAGCCCGCCGCACACGAGAGCTCTTGGCTGAGCTCACAACCTCGCGAGGCGACTACCTCACTGCTTTGCGTCGACAAGATTGGTCGCACACGTTGAGAAAGGTGCTGAGCTTTTAGCTGAGCTGACAATTGAATTTCGCGGCAAATTCAAGATGGCAGCAAGTATAAATCTTCATCTCATTGTTTATCTTTTCATTTTACTGATGCGTCGTCGCCGTCGCCGCATGAGAGCCGCATGTCGAACAATTTGGAGTAGAACTTGGATACAGAGACGCCAAAGGCGCGGTGTATTTGTCAACCTCCTTCGAGAACTCGAAGAAGATCCTGAAAAATTTCGACAATACCATCGCTTTGACATAAATTCTTTTAGAAAAATTTTAAGGATGGTGGAACCATATATTAAAAAGAAAGACACAGTAATGCGAGTAAGTATCAGTCCTGGAGAAAGATTGTCGGTTACTCTACGATTCCTTGCAACAGGTGAGCCAAAATACAAAACAAAGCGTTATTGCCCGTTTTGGATTATATACAAAAAATTGGCAATGTCAATGAGTAATATTTTTTTTAGGAGAGTCGTTCCGAAGTTTATCATTTCAGTACAGGATAGGAGAACGAACTGTATCAAATATTATCAGTGAGACATGTCAAGCTTTGTACGAAGCAATGAAACAGCAATATCTAAAAGTAGGTGGTCACAATCATTGCATATAACTAAATGTGTAAGACAACAAACTAGAACTTTATAATATTAAAATAACAAGAACTTACTAGATTGCTAGAATTAACTTTATAATATCTTTATAAAAACAACTGGAACTTTATCACATAACTAATCAGACCTTCATAATATATTTACTGGAAGTCTAGAACTTTATCATGCATATAAGTATAACTATTAAATAGCACTGTATATTAAAATATCAACAATTCATCTTGTTAAATGAACAAAAACACAGTCACAAGAAAAGTGTCAGGAATTAAGTATGTTTTCATCATGGTTGAACCAAGGAGAGAACTGCTGTACTTGACGGCTACTTTGCTGTTTGGCACCAGACATTTGGGTTTGCCCCTGCCCCAACATTCCCATTTGGGCCTGAAACAAAATATTATTTATATGATACTGCACAATGTGCTGCACTGTAGGGTCTAGCTTTTTCATGGACTCTATTACAAAATTTCCAACGGCTTCAGACTCTCCTCCTTCAGGTTTAGCCTTTTTCTTTTCCTTATTATTTTGAGCAATCGAAGAGGCCAATCCCTTCATGACTTCAAATTCTTCCTCTTGTAGTTTCTTTTTCATGGATTTAGGTCTTGATTTTAGAGGCAGCTTTGTTGACCTAGGTGTGGTTGTATCATTTACATCATCAAGCAAATTATCATCACCATCTGGATCAAGATCTGCCAAAATGTCACCACTCTCATCATTATCACTGTCAGCTACATCAGTCGGTGTTATAGGATCTGCCTAATAAAGAATTAAAAGGCAGCTTATTGAATAAATAGTTTCTAAAAATACATTAATACAATTTGAAACAACTTTGATATACTTTTGCCAAAATAAAGAACTTGAGATTTACTAATTAGGTCTACAGTCAAAACTTTATTTCTCAAATGTGTATGGTGAGGTATCATACATATACAGATTATCTAACAAGACTGGCAAAAGCAGGCCCTCTGAGCACTCGTAGGGTATTTTGCCCTAATCCCCCCCCCTCCCCTCTCCTGGGCTTCTTGTCAGCCTTGTTATCTAGTTACAGCTAATCTTGCACACAACATGAAGTGCTATGATTTATTTTTTTGCAAAATAAAAGAAGACCTAAAGCAAATATCAAACTATTTTAATAGGCCCCATCAACAGAAGAAGAGTGACTAAAAATTGCTGATGAGTTCCAAGCACAGTGGAATTATCCCTGTTGTATTGGGGCATTAGATGGAAAGCACATAGCAATTCAACAACCTGCAGATAGTGGTTCAGAATTTTTTAATTATAAACACTTCTTTAGTGTCCTTCTTCTTGCCCTGGTCGATGCCAACTACAAGTTCTTATATGTGAATGTTGGAGCTACTGGACGGGCAGGAGATGCAGGTGTGTTCGCAGATTGTTCTTTAAAGAAAGCTCTGGCAAATAAAACACTAAATCTTCCACCACCAGAAACTATCGAGGGAGTTTCTGAAAAGATTTGTTATCATATTGTAGCCGATGATGCATTTCCTTTAACAAAGAATATAGTGAAACCTTATCCACACAGAAAACTAGATAAACCAAAGGGAATCTTTAATTACCGATTATCAAGAGCAAGAAGAGTGGTTGAAAATGCATTTGGCATCTTGGCAAATCGATTTAGAGTGTTTCTCACAACTATCAACCTCAGACATGAAAAAGTGAATGACATTATTCTTGCAACCTGTTGTCTGCACAATTTTATGGTTGCAAACAACACGAGCAACTACACAAGCTGTCAAGATATTGAAGATACCAATAATCAGCAGTTCACGCCTGGTCAATGGAGAAGAGATACACAATTGTATGGAATACAAACAACATCAGTTAGAAATTCGTCAAAGAGGGCAAAGGAACAGCGAGTATAAATAAACCTTTATATAAGAAAAACATGTTTATGCAATTATGGTTCATCATGTTTATATCATATGTATTTTAATTAGTTTAAAAACAGGCATACCACTTCCATGTTAGATGTTGTTGGTCTGCTAGCAACATATGCATCTAAAAATTGAAGTTTATCAAGGATCCAGGATGTTCGTTTTGTTGGGTTTCGCCTTGCACTGCCTGATGGCGGTGGTTTTCTTGCTTTTGTAAAGCTGTTTCTCAGTTGTCTAAGTTTACTTTTAACCCAATCGACTGTTGTAAGAAAACATAAGAAATATATTAAATTATGACTATATTTCAATGTGCCGTGATGTATGATATTCCGAAATTATCGAAATTTTCATATCGACTTCGTGTTCAGTATAAATTATAAAATCAAAATGTTAATTTACAAACCATTTTGAGCAATTTTTCGAGCAATTTCCTCCGTGGCTTGTTGTCGGCGATCTCTGTCTTTAAACTCTGCTGACCTCACATCATATAAACAGGGGTAATCCGGCCATATTTCAACTAGTTTCTCCTCTGATAACAGCTCACTAAGTTGCTCGCTTGTGTTTGACGCCATATTGAAGCAGCGATTTCTTCTTACGTGAGGAAACAACGCATTTTCATTGGCTTATTTTGCCTTGCGAGGTGAAAAATATCAAACACGATAGATATTTTCCTCAAGGCCTCGAGAGGTGAATTCCTCACGAAAATCAACCGCACATGAGAGCTCTTGGCTGAGCTAACAGACTCGCAAGGCGGTTAGCTCAGCCAAGAGCTCTCGTGTGCGGCGGGCTTTACGTATTTGCACTATCTCCTTCTCAATTCTCTTGCGCATCTCCGCGCCTTGCTGAATAAACTTTCTAATTCTGTTAATAGATCGGGTAATCTTACCTCGTAACTGGGCGCGCTTTTTCTTTAGATTACTCATGATCGTCTGACTCACCCTGTGTTACCGAGTCTTTCCCATACTTGTTTGGTTTGAACCACTTTGGCTTGGACTGCTATTCTCGTTGTCGCTCATGATTTCACCAACATAACTTTGTCTTGTTTGCCTGCTAACTCGGCACCGATTTTAAACCATTCTTCAGAACTTGTTTCCGATTGAGCAAAACCACACACAATCCAGTAGAGATTTTCGTAATATATTTAATACATTCTGAAGAGTGGGTCTCCACTGATTGATAAACTCTCGATATACTTCAGCTCTCTATATGCTCTCGCACACTGTCTCAATATCTCAATATGATACTTGCCTTCAATACTGTCTGGATACTATTATGTCATGCACATTTGTCAACACTTAATCACTAATTCAATCAAGTTACCATGCAAATCAAATAGGTTAAATCAAATAGAATCATCACAAACTAAAGTTATAAATTATTAATCATCTTCAAATAGTTAAGTTTGTAAACTGTCCGATCCACTGGTGTTTTCATTAAAATGTCTCAAATCAGCAACAATTTCATTATCTTCTGAGAGGATAGCTGTTTTAACTCTTTCATCAATCTGTGCTTCACTGAGGTATTCTGAAGCAGATTTATCCCCTGTCAATTGCTTAAACATCTCTCTAAGGATGTGTGATGGAGTGCCGCTAAACTTGCCAAAGGTTTCACAGAATTCTCTCCTTGCAAATCTGGTCTGGTACATTGGTATGTCCTTCTCAATGTCTCTAACAACTTGCATGTTTCTATTGGCTAAGTCTTCAGCAGAGCAATGGTTTGGCACTTTCCACACAAAGTTGGCATTTCCAGCATTACCCCCAGCACTGTACTGATAAAGGACAATGTTAGCATTTGATGACAGTCCTTTCTTAAGCTGCTGAGTGAAGAGATATCTTTTCCTTCGGTCAGGGGGGCAGAATTCACTTACAACTACGGGCACAAAATCTTCAGACTGCTCAACTGCACTTCCAAGTTTTGACAAACTTTCATCTACATACATAGGCTTGTTGAGAAAGTGGATTGACTCTGAGGATGATAGTGATCTTACTGGGGTTGAGGAAAAATGACGCTTAATCATGGCTTTGTTCCTCTCGTCAAGGTATGCTGCATATCCAGATAATATGCTTCCTAATTGGGCAACAGCACTCTAAAAATTATTAATAGAAAAAAATAAATACTTGAGCTATTCTGGGTGAGGCAAAAGTGTATTTCTATTTCTGTACTGCAAGTTTTGTTAGCCACCAACATTGGGCTGCATGCCATCAAATTCTCCGGGTTTTTCCCCACAGAAACTTTGTCGATACTCACGTCGAAGGGTTCAACCAGCTCACAGATATTCAACCAGGGCCATGGCCCAACTCCATCGATGTGGCCAGCTTTCAAGTCATCGAAGATTTGACTAAATGTCAACCCGATATTGCCTTCATCTGCTTCTACAATAGTCCATTTGACTAAAACTTTGCATTGGTGGGTCACATGCACAGAAATTAGCATTATAAATCATGAATATGCATGTCAGATTTGAATATCGTTTCAAAAAAGCAGCAAAACCGCACGAACAGATTCTTTTGTAGCCTGCGTAGCAGGCGTTTAGTGCGGGCTGGAGAAGAGAGGGTGTCGTTAAATAAACGCCTGCCCAAATGCCTATGAATAATTTGTTCTTCTCCGAAGAATCTTCGGAAAAGCTTCCCATTGGTCAATCTCGTTAACGGAAGTAATTACGTAACTCAAATGTCAACAATAATTTTGCTCGTGTGTATATCGAAAATATGCCGCCTGTTATTGCTTTTCAAGGGAACTCTTATATTTCAATACCCTGGTTGCCAGAGGCTCTTTGTTTGAAACTCGGAGGGGGAGAGCCTCTGGTTCAATCAGTTGAGAATTCGAGTTCTAGGTTCAGAATTTGAACCTCGCTTTCTGATTGGACGCTCAAAGCAGACAAACCGGTTTTGGTAGTCCCAGTCTCAAACACGCGCAATTGCCATTGTTTTCATTGTGTTATTAATTATTATAAGTCTTCGTTGTGATTTTATGAATATTCATCGTATTCAAATTTCAATGGCATGCCTACTCCTGTTAAAGTGTCGGGTTTCAGTGTCAACGACTATTGCAGGATATGCAATATAAAAATTTTGGTATCTGGCCAAGGGAAATTTAACATATTTACTGAAAAGTTTCAATTAAATATAGTATGGCTGGCAGATTGTCGACCATCTTGGGACGTCAGTTGTTGAATCTGCCGCAAGTATCCTCAGTTATTTGTTTTAAATGTCGAAGAGACATGGAAAAGTTTGAAAAAACTAAAGAATGCAATGGACGAATTTCAAAAATTAAGCCTAGACACTTACCATAAGCAAGTTAGACTATCAAGTGACGAGAATGCGTGTACGAATACGCATGTCGCAAATCAACGTGAACAGCGATGCCACCAAAGTTCTACAGGCAAAAAGATAGTCCCTTATGGAAGAAACGTGATGTAAATGATTCACCCGCTCGTCCAGCTTTATGCTTGACAAAAGCTGAAGTTGCATAAAGATGAAATGCCCTTTCAATTTGACGATGATTTATTCCGAAGTTCAAAAGTTGAG